CCCCGAACGCCACGGACCTTCAACCAGGCTGGCACCTCTGCTTTGGCATGGGGCTACCTGCTCAAAGGGTTTCGTGAGCCATGCCTGAAAAAGACGCAGGCCAACGAGGGACATTGCTTCAGAACTTCGACAGAGGCCCTAGTAGCACTAACAAGATGCTGGGGCTGGAACAAAGGCTGGAAGGGTGATGCGGCATCCAAACAGGCCCACCTGCGGCAGCTGCCTTTTGTCCTTAAAACCGTGCAAGAAGCTGCAAGCCAAGGCTCCGCCTCTGGCAGCAGGGGAGGCACCGCCTCTAGCTCTGATGCGGCACGGATAAGTGCCCCGCCCCCATGGAGAGTGTTCAGGCCCACATCCACGAGACCTTGGAATCGGACCTATATCGCCCTGGTGGACTGCTACGGGGGCATCTCCAGAGCCATGGTGGAAGAACTTGTGCGCAAAGGCCCAGTACTTGGCATGTGCCTTTTGCATAAAATGGTGGAGTTTCCCAGAGACGACGGCATCAAGGAACATTACCTCCGCGCGACTGGAGGAAGTCGCACCTGGCACCATGCTCACAAACAGAGAACGAACGCAGAAAGCCCCGGCTACACTTGCCAACATCGCTGGAATCTTGGATGACATCCCCCAAACAGAAGCAGTGAGGGGCAGCGTCACTTGGCAGATCCTGCTTACTGGTGGTGGCAGAAGATGGCGCTGTCACCATAGCCACTACCTCGCCAAAGTGTGGACCCAACGGCCGGCTAATTGGTGAGGAGGAAACAGTGCTCCCAAAGCCACGGGCTGGGTCGGAGGTCTCCATGCAGTTCTTCACAATGGCATCAAACGTTCTTTACAGAATATCCGAGGAGCGGATCGAGACTCAGCTCTTCGTCATGGCCTTCCAGACCATGTATGATGCTGCGGCGATCAAAAGCCACAACCCGACCAGGTGCGTGCTCCAGTACGCCCGTGGCGATGAAACGGCTACCCTCACGAGGAGACGGCCTACTCAATGTTCAAGGCGGTCATGGGAGTGGATCCTAACCGCGCGATCCGTCGCCTGCAAACTGGAGAAGGTCCCAGAAGAGATCGCCATTGGCATTGGCAGCAAGAAGACCTTGCAGATGGAGGAGATGAAGATTGGGACCAGTCGAGGCACTCTGCCTGCAGATCCTCCTACAAACGCCATTGGCACGAAGGCCACTGGCGCGATTAGATGCCACCACGAACCGCCCTACATCTACGCTAGGGGGGCACTGCGCGAGGCCAAAAGTGAGCCAATTGTGAACTCCTCTGGCTTCACTTGGCTAACCACTCGACCCTCGAGACAGCCCTTGCATTCAATTGCATGCTTTGTATCATCATTGTTGGTCGGAGCGTTCGCTATCATGTAGCAACTTTCCTTTGCAGGAAGCACGTTTACTTCGCACTTGGCTGCCAGAAGCCAAAATGACCACTCGGCCACTGCCTTCCTGTCACCTCGAAGTCCCGACAGTTCACTGTCATTGCAGTCATTCAAGGTCAGCATGCTCGGGAGCCTTATTCAAGGGGCGACACACGAACTTTACGGCCCATCACCAGTTTCCGGGAGTGACCAAGGGTGGGACGCCACTGGGACCCGGCTTTCGAGCACGACCCACCGGAATCTGGTCCATGAGCGTAGGACGCAACAGCTCATACTGTGGGTGCTGGAAGCTGTCTCACCTTTATGTAACGCCCATGAATTAACCCTCCTGGATTGGCAGGATTAGCAGTTCGGCTACCATTTTTTATGGAATAGTCGCAGGTTATGCACAGTGAGTCACGCGCAGCAGTGGTTAAGTGGTTGGGAGAGGGGTCAAAAAATTAAAAAGGATCAACAACAAAAACGAAGAAGGACCAACAACAAATTAGAAAGGATCAAAAATTATGTTGATGACTTACAAGGCAATTTGTTGATTTCCTGGCTCAGTAGCTTTTTGGGCTTCCCGGCTTGTTGGCTTGCCGGCTTCCTTCACGACGGTTTCTCGGCTTCCCGGCTTGTTGGCTTCCTGGCTGCTTGAGGCTGCTTGGCTTCGCAGCTTCTTGGCTCCTCGGCTTCTTGGCTTCTCAGCTTCTGCGCTTCGCGGCTTCTTGGCTTCTGAGCTTCTTGGTAATATGTGTACTATCACTATAGGGCTTGTCAGCTTCTTGGCTTCGCGGATTCGCGGCTTCTGGCCTTCTTGGCTTCACGGCTTCTCGGCTTCTTGGCTTCTTGGTAATATGTGCGTACTATTATAGCTTTTATGCATAGTATTATGATTAATTTGTTTAGTAGTACTCCTAGGACTATCATTTCCATGATTCTGAATAGTCTTATAGCCATTGCATGTGCAAACATTAATAGCACGGTTCCTAGGAATAGCGGATCAAAAATTGAGGAATGATCAAAAACAAATTAAAACATTTCTGTAAGTGCGATTTCAATGGTTCTGGGGCTGTACTGGTTTTAACACTATAGTTTCGCACAGTTCCGGCCCGGAACCATTGAAATCGCACGTACAGAAATTTTTTTAATTTGTTTTTGATCATTCCTAAATTTTTTTGATCCGCTATTCCCAGGAACCGTGCTATCGTTTGCAGCAGGTCCCCAAACCCTAAGTTTGTGTTTGATCCTTCCTGATTTTTTGACCGGTTGAGCATAAATTTGCTTTTGATCTTTTTGTTCTCCTCCACCCCCCCCCCCACGGCATTGGTTAGTAGTTGTGTTCATTGATGGTCTTTGATTAGCTTCTTTTATTTACTACTTCTGCCCCTCAGACTCGTTTGGCTTTCTAGAAGTTTCCCCTAACAATTCTCGTCCCTTGTACAGACGGGTGCCAGGGCCGATACAACTCGCCCGGTATGAGCAGAGCCCGCTGGCTCAGCGTCCAACAAATTCTTGTTGCTGTTAGTGAGTGCTGGTGCTTGTGCTGGTGTCGGTGTTGGGGGTATTGCTTTTGGTGTTGGTGTTGGTGTTGTTGTGGTCGGTTGGATGCTTTCTTGGTTGGTTGGTCGGTGGTTGTTGTTGGTTGTTGTTGGTGTTGTGGTGCAATGTCACGCTCGGGGTGAATCTTTGACACGCTCTATGGATTTGGGTGGTAGGCTAGCTTTGGGCCATTTTGGGCCCAAGGGTCATGAATCATCGCGATGCTTCACTTGCAGCCAAAATCCCCACACCGGACACTGTGCTGAACTTCATCGTGTGATTAACTCTTAAGTTCTGCAGAATGCCTCGAGGTAAATTCTTCATGCCGGAGGCACGAGCCCCCTGTCACGACCTGGGATGCTGAGTTCGGTGGACGGGTGTGTGTTGGGGATTTGCGCGTTGGAGTTTAGAGTTTAGGGTTTAAGATGTAGAGAGGTTTGATAAGGTCTTCTGTTATGAGCATGCATATGATTATGGCTGTTTCGTTGGGAGGGTTTCCCGCTCTCAACTGTAAGCCCTAGGAGCTGATGAATTTCAAAAGGCTCTTGCCATTGCTTAAAGGTTTGTTCTGACTTATAAAGTTGTTCCGGTCCCTGGTTGGTATATGTTGGTGTAACCGTAGAAACTACAAAGAAGTACGCAAAAAAGTGTCTGACTTCTGTTTTCAACACTGCGCGTGTTCAGGGCTTAGGCTGAGGACCCGTACCAAGTATGTTTGTTTTGGCATGGGCGGGCTGTGGGTTCGACGAGGAACTGGTGATGTTGTGGTGGGTAGCTATTTCTTATCTTGCCAGCAAGTGCGGTAATGAACCCTACTAGGATTTAAGCTAGATGTTCAGTGAACACAATAGAAACAGATTTCAACTCCATATGCACATTAGGTCCCTCGCCCGGAAAATCATATTCCAAACATAAGTGTGGCATGTAATCTTAATCTCGTGAAACCCAGCGCCGTTTATGTTTTCATTTCTCCAAAACAAAGAAAGCATAAATTAGTTTCAACATGTTACAGTATAGTCATATAGCCCATATCCATATCGTTGCAAATCAAAAATGGACAGATGATGACATCTTCCTCAAGCGGCGTGGGGAGATGCTTAGGTTCTTGCGCGGAGGCACACCCGTAAATTCCGCACTCCCACTGCAGCACGGGGCAGATTTCAGCCTCATGTTCTAGGCATTATTCACACAATTCCGCTTTCTTAAAACCCTAAGTCCTGCCACGCGGCCTCTCGGGTTTGTTCGCTTTGCCGTTATATTGTCTAAATCCAGCGAGCTCATAGCGGGGACGGTTTTGGTGGTGCAGCTATGCCAGTGCGATGATGGTGTCCATCTCAGTGCTTCGTGACTGAGCCGTGCCCTCAAGGAGCGCTGATAACGCCCTTGCTACAGGCGCATACTCGCTCTGAAAAATTGTGAACGGCTTGGCATAGTTTTGGCGCTTCTCATTCTGAAGCTTTCCTGTCTTCAGGATTTTTGCGGAGCAACCCCTTGCACAAAGCGCCTCGATGTGCCCCAACGCGCCTAGGTGTCAGCGCGCTTTGGTTCATCTGTTGAATAGAATCATTGTGTTAGCTTATCCCAAGAGGACGGGTAATTGGCCCAAATGCATGTTGCTCAATTGTTGAATGGCGATGGTGCAGAACTTCTGCAGCAGAAGGTGGAAGATCATGATGATGAAGATGACGACGACAATGACGATGGCGACGGTGATTCCAACGATGACGAAGATGACGAGACGACGGCGATGATGCTGCTCACGATCATGATGATGACGGTCATGAGTATGATCATGATCGTTCATGATCAGGATGATGATGTGTGGCGAGAGCGGGTGCAATGTCCGCCGGGGAACTGCGTTGGCATGAACTCGATACTGGTATGTATAACCTTTGAGCTTCTATACAGCTATATTTTCATAATGTCTGAATACCTTTATACGGAATACTATATATCATATGCGGTATACATGTATATACCGTATACACTACATACGCTCTACATATTCTATAGACTGTGTATACGATGTGTGTGTATATATATACACATAATACACACATATACATATACTGTATAAACTTTATACAGA